GATGATGGAAACGGTAACGACGGCTGTCTTAGATAAGTTCACACAGCTGCGGAAGTACAAGGCGTGGGTGCTGCTTGCCGCCTGCACTCTGTGGTTCCTCGCTGGACTATCAATGACCGGTCAGGTATGCATGCAGGCATCGGAGAGCTATCACAGCACATGTTACATTCAAATGAAATCAATTTACTTTATTTTGAATAAGATTCTGAAGGTTACTTATTAGTTAAGCAAGTTAATTAATAGACAATTCTAGTAAGATTAAAACAAATGAAACTAGATAAATAGAAGTGATGGAGGGGCGAAATGACAATTCAGTTGTCCAGACAGCAACAGTAGAGGAGACAGGTCAGTTTTCTTCGGAACGGGTGATTGGACTATTCTTATTATCTGTGATCCAGAAAATACCAGATAATTTTTCGTGATTTGCGTCTAATTGTAAACCGGAAGACGGTGAAAGCCCTGAGTAATTTCTTGGACACAACGATGGCGAATTCTGAAAGGAATTTTTTTTTCAGAATAGCTAGTTCAGATAAATAATAATGGTATAAGCGCTAACTAGACAACTGTGTTGAGCAGCTGGGAAATATGTTGCAAGTTGGGACATGTTTTTTTTTACCTGGGAAACTGGAGTTTGACTCACTATTCCTCTTCTACGCAATGCAATTCTGATGGAACCCTGTGCCACGAAAATCAACGAGGCTCATTTAAGAATCGATTAATTAATTTCTACTCTCGAGCAAAACGAACGAAGGAAACCCTTATTCTAATTGTTTAGAGGATGAGATAATATGATTGATTAGACAATGACCTCTCTAGACTGCGACTATCGAATTTCAAGTCGTTTAAGCTTACTAGAGCTGCTACTATGTTATATCTATTGCTGCTCGCAGGTGGGAGTCTACGTTCTTACTCTGATCGACAGTTACGCCGCCGGGTGGTCGTTAATGATACTAGCGTTACTGGAATGCATCGTCAAGTGCTGAAATACGTACGATCGAAAGTGAAAATGTTCGAAATTCGGGACCTTAGTTCTCCGGGTTTAAAACTGTACGGATGGTTAGTTGTAGGTAGAACTTTGCACTGATTACAATGCTTATACAAGCAGGTTCGCGTGTCTTACGCAAAGGTATTAGTTCTAGAGAATATGATCGTATTCCACCCAAGTTCGTTTCAATGCTAACGCAGTGCTCAGTTTAGAATTCAGATTTCACTTTGCCAAATATCCCTTTCAGAGTTCATTTACCCTTCACGCCGTTTTCGTACTTTTAGCAATTACGTGCTCGACATGACTGATGGGATAGAGTACATGGGTAAGCAGCGCTGGCAGCTCGTCCTATGCCTCCTCGCTGCTTGGGTGATTGTGTACCTGTGCCTCATCAAGGGAGTGAAGTCGTCCGGCAAGGTATGCGCGTGCGGTAACGGTCACCTGGGACCTCGTATAACACCTTCATGAAACACATAGGGCGCGCTAGCGCCAACACAATTTCAACATTTACATTCAAACCTGCGCAGAACGGTCACTCAAAGAAAACTCGAAACGCGCCCTGTATAGAGAAGTGTCCGTTCTATAGAAGCTGTTCTACTTTAAAACATCAAAACATTGTTCTACATTAAAACATTAAAACAGATGTTCGTTCAATAGCAGTGCCCGCCAACACATTTTTGACACTCCAATCGGTGCAGAGACCAAAACCAAATAGATTCCCACATCCAATACATACAAACAATTGATACAATTGATACAATTGCTACAGACGCGGTCGTAAACAAAATGGCCGTGGAAGCAAACCGATGCAAGGTCACCTCTGCGAACAATTGCGGCAGCCCATCAAAAGCATCATTACACGTACGCGCTCGCGGACAGGAAATGCTCACAATAGATAAGAAATTCGTTGACAATCTGGGGCGCGTGCGAGCACCGCGTATCGCTGGCGAAAGTTTTGCTTTCTCACTCTTTGTGATAATTTATAAATAAAAAAACAAACATTTTTTACATAAAAATTCAAAATTTGTGTTATTACATAATTAGGTGCTGGAAACTTCATGAATTTTTTTGGCTTGAGCATAGAGATACATCGCACCTATAAATAAAACGTGTGATTAATTCGCTTAATTTGTCAATAAACGTTTAGTCTTCATTAGAGCAATACCCGTGCAAAAGCTGGACAGTATGCTTAAAATGACGATTTTTGCGGCGAATATATACACGTACATGTATCTGAGAGAATTCTGCCAGAAACACTATGTCCGAGGTACCCTGCAAGCTAGGGCGTTGTACCATCTTTTACAACAGCAATAGCAATAGACTTTTATCCCATAAATCTACACACGGGTACCCAAGCTCCATTTTAAATACGTTTTTGAATCAAAATATCAGTTATTTAGTGAGTTACTGCGCATGCGCGGACCCACATTTTAGTCTGTGCAACAAATATAAAATTCTAGAATATTTGCTAATGTGGCAAGCAGTGATATCCTGGGTTGCATAATGCCCAGTATCTGTTAAAATGACGAGTTTTGCGGCGAATATATACACGTACATGTATCTGAGAGAATTCTGCCAGAAACACTATGTCCAGGGTACCCTGCAAGCTAGGGCGTTGTACCATCTTTTACAAGCGCCATAGCCGTAGACTTTTATCGCAGAAATCTACACACGGGTACCCCCGCTCCATTTTAAATACGTTTTTGAATCAAAATATCAGTTATTTAGTGAGTTACTGCGCATGCGCGGACCCGCATTTTAGCCTGAGGAACAAATATAAAATTTTATAATATTTGCTGATGTGGCAGGTTGTCTTATCCTGGATTGCATAATGCCCAGTATCTGTTAAAATGACGAGTTTGCGGCGAATATATACACGTATACATGTATCTGAGAGAATTCTGCCAGAAACACTATGTCCGGGATACCCTGCAAGCTAGGGGGTCGTACCGTCTTTAACAAGAGCCATAGCAATAGAGTTTTATCTCATAAATCTACACACGGGTACCTCCGCTCCATTTTAAGATATCTACGACTCGACCAATAAACTCGATTAAGCTCAATACTAGCGCCGACCAACGGCGGGTAATGCAGAAAGCTGCGAATGGCAGCGGGATAGGGCGTATTTGGTCTTTTTTATACGCGGGTATGGGCATGTATATCCGGGATCCAACCTCTAAATTCCGCTCGAAACTTTTGCCAGCTAAATGATGCGCATTTCTAGAACGTAGTCGGATCTCATTTCAAACACAAAAATGGCCCACCGGTTACCATGGCTACACCATCTTTACACAATGGCACACGACAAGACCAATCTTACTTTTAATGCCTTCTAGACGTCCACGAGACATCTACCTAAGGTCCTTGCGTGCATAATGCAAATTAGTGCACTGCAGTGCCGAATTTTACCGCAAACAAATGAAAAGAAGGCCCGTACCATGGACGAAATAGTGCAATATTGGTGAACAATTGTATGCTGTAGGCTACTGTTGTATGCTGTAGTTGTATAGCTATAGTTGTATAGCTATAGTTGTATGCTGTAGGCTACTGTTGTATGATATAGTTGTATGCTGTAGTTGTATAGCTATAGTTGTATGCTGTAGTTGTATAGCTATAGTTGTATGCTGTAGTTGTATAGCTATAGTTGTATGCTGTAGGCTACTGTTGTATGATATAGTTGTATGCTGTAGTTGTATAGCTATAGTTGTATGCTGTAGTTGTATAGCTATAGTTGTATGCTGTAGGCTACTGTTGTATGATTATAGTTGTGTGCTGTAGTTGTATAGCTATAGTTGTATGCTGTAGTTGTATAGCTATAGTTGTATGCTGTAGGCTACTGTTGTATATGATATAGCGGATGGCTGATCGTGCAT